ACAATAGCACTGTTTCCACCTCCGTACCTTGTCCCACTGAGTGTCTTCAGGGCTGTGACTGGCATAGAGCTGTCATTTCCCATGACAACAACACCTTCTTCTGGAACACGTGGCCTGAGGGACCTGCCTGAGGCTCTTCTTTAGGTGTTTCTATTTTCAGGAATGTGTCCAAGAAAACAAATTTGTTTCTTTTCTTCATCATAGAGTTGCTTAGAAGCAGATTATTCACTATGACTGCTCCTCTCTCAATGAAAAACTGGACTGGTGTCCATGTTTTCAGACTCTTTATGGTGCTTGTTGAGATCTGCAAAATCTGCTAAACTCTGCATTGTGATTTTCTTTGGGATTCTTGTTTTTCTTCTCCTGCATTTCCTTTTCTCTTGCCTCTTCTTTATGCATTCCTGTTCTAGTTCTAACTCCTCATTGGTCAACCCTCAGGAAGCTCTTCAATGACATCCTCATCCACATCCAAGGTAAAGTTGCTTGCTATCTCAACCACAGCCTTGGTGATTTCTGCAACCTCCTCATTCTTGGCAAATCCTGTAAAGTCACAGATGAAGCACTTTAGTGTCTTCTCCCAGATGCCACTCACACACTCCTTGGTGACATCAGCCCAAGACCTAGCAAGGTTATTGCTGCTGTCAGAGATGTTGTAACCCTTCCAGAATTTGCATCAGTGTCTTCTCATCTTCTCAGTGTCTTCCTCAGTTGCTATAGTCGGCAAAGGTGCTCCTCAGGTAATAGGCCTTAGAAGTTGTTATCATTTTTTCATCCATGGATTGGATCAAAAAAGTGGTATTTTGAGGAAGAAACACCACTTGATATTGGAATGAAGATCACCAGTTAAAAGGAGGAAGTCAGCATTATCAGCAATAAGCAAAATCTTGAAAGGCATGCTATTCTCCAAACAGCACTTCTCCATTTTTCTGTCACAGCAATTCACGAGGGATCTTAGAAGAGCTAGGTCATCCATGACTCTAGCTGCTCCTGAAAGACACTGGCAGTGGGTGCTTATTGATATGCTTGAAGGCCTTGGGGTATCCACTGTGCCAGCACACAAAGGGTTTAATTTGGAGCCTGTGACATTGCCCTCCAAGGAAGAATGCCATCCCATCCTTAAAAGCCTTGAAACCTGGCACTGACTTGACCTCCTTATGGATGAAAGTCCTTTCAAGCATCTGTTCCCAGATTAGGAAGTTTTCATCCATATTGAAGATTTGCTCTGGCAAGTAAATTTTTCTCCACCTTCACTTATTCTGTAATTTCCAGAAGTTTTCCAGCTGCTTTGTCATTAGCACTCACAGATCACCACTCACTTTCACATTATGTAATGAGTGATTCTAAACTTTCAAGCTATTCCAAGCTAGCAGTAAATTCAGCATCATAGTTGGGTCCAGTCATTTCTTTCAACATCACAGACAAACTTTTTGCTTTGGTCAGCAAAGCTTTGGTTAGAAGGTCTTGGTTGCTGAGTGGGATAAGCTGCTGTGTCTGGTCTTCAATCCACGACATTAGGAGTTTCTCCATCTGCTATAGGTCCTTCACAAATTTTTGTTAGTCTTCTTGCTTTCAATGAAAGACATACTTTAGGGCCTCCCTGGTGGCGCAGCGGTTGAGCGCTGGGTTGCAAAGCTGCCTGCAGCCTCTGCAGCGCCGGTTCCATCCCCAGCCGCGGGGCGAGGGTCCCACATGGCGCGCAGACCTCTCCTGTCTCACCCGCTGCTCCCCTCAGCAGTGTACTTCAGTCCTTCTGCCTGTTCTGCTCCCTGCTCTGGCTCTGGTGAATTCTCTCACCCTCATGCGCTTCTGACTGTACCCAGTGCTTGTATAAATAAATAAATAAATAAATAAATCTTAAAAAAAAAAAAAAAAAGACATCCTTTCACAGCTTCTGTCTCTTGGTTCTCATTATTTAAGTTTGTAGCCATGGAGAGGGACAGACCTGACTGGCTAGCAGTAACTATCACTGACTTTCTAGTTTTGTAGTCTTTAATCACATTTAATTTCATTTAGATTAATCACTCCTATGGGAAACATTGGTAGTGGATTTTGTATGCTTAGGGGCCATAATGAAAAAAATGGTATTAAATTAAGCACACGTCCAAAATAATGCTATCAAGAAACACAAGATGAATGAGACGGCTGCCTGTGGAAAATGCTAGTACATGGCAGCCCTGACATCACAAGGCAGTAGGCATTTACCACCATCCATCATGTATGTGGTCCATCCCTGACCAAAGGGTCATCACACAGAGCACGACTATATATCCAATCAACTCAGAATAATTGATAATTGCTTCTTTCTTTCTTTCCTCTCTCCCCTCCTCCCTCCTTCCCTCTTTTCCTTTCTTTCCATTCTTATTCCTTATGTCTCTTTTTTTGGTCCTAACTTCCTAGCTGAGACCTTTGATATTTTAATGAAGAGTATCCATGGATATCCTTTTTTTATTCCTTTTGTTTAAACACTACGTTTCTAAGAATTCACATTAATATGTATTTGTTTTCATAGGTCTTTGGTATTTACATTTTAAGTTCCTCTTTCTTAGTGTGAACAGAACGAGTGATGAATTTTAATAAACAATTTGTCTGCATCTGTTGACATAATTATATGAATCTTTAAATTGTTAATGTATTAAATTAATAGACATTCTAGTGTTTAGTCAAGCTTGCAGTCTTGGAATAAACTCAACTTGGTTATGGTGCATTTTTATGCATCTATCTCTGGATCTATTTGGATAGTATTTTACTTAGAGCTTTTGCATCTGTATTCTTAAATGAGACTGGTGTACAATTTTCTTTCCTTATACTCCCCATGCTTCTTTTTGGTGTCATACATAGACTAGACATCTAAAAAGAACTTAGTGCATTCCTGCACACTATTCTCAGGAGCAGTTTGAATTAGATAGGGATTATGTGTTCCTTGAATGCTTGTGTCCTTGAATATTATCAAAACTTCTGGTCAATGTTGTACATATTTAATTATCTCAAACTTGAAATTATATTTAAGTTTTGGTACTCTTAAGTAGGTTCTATTTTTGACATTTGAATGATCAGTAATGAGAGAAGTGAGTTTATAAGTTATGAAAAAAGTGGTTAAAAATCTCCCTTCATGCCTATAGATTTGTCAATTTCTCTTTATAATGTTGTCAATCTTTGATATATGAGAAACTACATTATTAGATAATTCTAAGAAATCTTCCTGATAAAGCATATTTTTGTTGCAATTATTCTTTTTTGCAAAAAAGAATTTTGCAAATTATTTTTGGCTGCTACTAAGATAGCTATGCTAACAATTTTAATAGCACTTGTCTGGTATTTTGTCCCTTCTCTCCTTTAGGTTTTTTATATTTTCAACATTTTTAGACTCTTATGTTTTATGTCTCTTGTAAAAGGTGATATATAGCTGGGAATTTAAAGTTATTCCTATCTGACAACCTGTGTCTCTTAACTGAAAGTTTGTTTTCATTAATATTTATGGTGATTATTGGTATATTTGGATTTATTTTGACCACATTATTGTGTGCTTTTTGTTTATCTTGGTTTGTCTATGTTTTATTCCTTTCACTGCTTTTCATTAAATAGATCATTTTTTTTTTTTTAATTCTCTCTCTCCTATATTTGGACATTCTATTTCCTTTCGGGTTTGGTTAGGTTGGCAGCTGTCCTTAAAAAGATAAACATTACTGAACTAACAAAGCAAACCTGATTAATTTCTTTATTTTCCTCTGGAATGATGAAAGAATTTGGAATAATTTATGAACTGAAGAGCACATTTTAGATTATTTTCTTATACCTTTCTTCTAGTTCCCTAATATTCTCTTCAGTTTTGCCTGCTTTGCATTTTAGCCTATTCCTGGAGGGTTTTTTTTTTTTTTTTTAATTTCAATTAACTTTTTACAACCTAAAAGTTATATTTGGTTCTTTACAAAGCCTGCCTAGTCTTCTTCTTTTGACAATGTCTTTCTTTTATCATGTTTCCTATTTCTACTTGTAGCTCTTAAATAATTTCAAGCACACCCATTTTCTAGTTTCTAGCTGATGTTTTAAGTAAAGTTCTTGAGGAAGGAGTGCCTAATTCTTTTTGGTTCTGATGATTCTCATTACCTCATATGTTTAAACATTTTTGTATTGTGAATTTATTTTCACTATGGCTGATAGTATACATTTGCATCTTGAACATGTGTAGGAAGGTCCAAAGTCACCAACTCTTAGAGCCCCTATAGGAGTTCAGTTAAAGAGAGACAAAGTAACTTCTCTCTTGTCCTGCTAGGGCAGAGTGAAGCTGGCCCCACTGAAATCCATATGTCACTCTCCGAGGGTCCAGCTTTGGGTGAGGGTCTCATCTAATTCCCCTGCCTGGCCTAAATTTTGCTCCCACACGATTATTCTAAGTCTAGTGGAATAATATTTCCACATTATGCCAGGTTGTGAAAAGGAACATGTCTAGTATCAGTTTATTCCTTTCCCCAGCTCTTTCTCATTTAGATTTAACCAGTTTTGTGGTGTTGTTATTTAAAAAATGTGTTTATAGAAGTATGTTATCCTCCAGGATTAAAGATGGGATAACTAGACGTGAACTTGGCTTCTAGAGCCACAGAAGTTCTTACAATGTGGGTTTATCTTGGGAATCAGATAGGAATTTTCACAGCTATGACCTGTAAAAGTGTACAAAGGAAAAGTGAGCAAAGTTCTATACATAAAGGAATGGGGGAAATAAAAGTGCATACAAAATGCTGGGATAATGATCTTACTCTCACACCTCCACCCCTGAAGGATTCCTCTCCTAATCCTTCCTCTCCCTCCCTTCCCTCAGTGCCATCAATTCAAGTTACAACAGTGATTCCTCTAGAGACAATCTCAGTCCAGTTCCCCCCCTCTTTCCCCCCTGACCCTCCTCCAATTAATCTGACTGTGCAAACCTTTGTGGTTTACTATTGCGCAATGTCTCTGTCTCACTCCCCCTATCCCCCTCCCCCCAAATTCAGGGAACTCCAGTTGCATGGTGCCACCGGCATTACTCATTCATCCCCATTCAGACTCCCCAGCATTTATTACGGGCTCTGGGCTCCCGCCTCTCACTCTCTCCTCTGCTCAAATTCGCTTGAGAGCCTCTTGCTGTGGGAAGTCGAGGGAGAACTTTCTCTTCAAACATGCATCTCTCGGCGGTTCTGTTGTGTGCTCTCTGGTCTGCAGTGTCTGCTGAGAATGCCGATGACTATGGGCTCATGTATGTGAATTTGGACAATGAAATAGACAACGGACTCCATCCCACTGAGGACCGTAAGTTCATTTTAACCGTTTCACTGCTAACTCCAACTTCTAGCCACCTCTTTGGGTCTAAATTTTATGCATAGAGTTTGTAGCTAGTGAAATGAGCTAAAACAAAACAAAACCAAAAAATCAAGCTTGCTTTGCAAGAGACGCACTTTAAGAAAGGGGGAAGTTTCAAAAAGTTATTTCTATCACAGATGCCTAATAGTTTGAACCACATGAAATAGCCGGTCTGTCCCTGCTTTGAGCTGCATGAACGGCTACTGCATAGAGTTCAACTTAATATAAACTTGTATGAACAGTATCCCTCATTCTCGAGATATTTACATGTGGCTTTTCAGAGGTGCCCTGGAAGGGCAGGGGTGCTGGGCTGGGCTGCAAAGAGATCACAGAGGGAGGTCAGCTTTTTGCAACGATTTATGTGTCCGCGCTCTAGCCACACCGTGTGACTGCCGCCGGGAGCACTCTGAATGGGACAAACTCTTCATCATGCTGGAGAACTCTCAGATGCGCGAGGGCATGCTGCTGCAGGCCACCGACGACATCCTGCGCGGCGAGATGCAGAGGTTGCGGGCGGAGCTGGGCCGGCTGGCGGGCAGCCTGGCAAGACCGTGTCCGCCTGCGGCCCCCGCGGAGGCTGGGCTGGCCGGGGCGCTGGCGGAGCTGCTGCAGGCGAGCCGCGACGCCGGACGAAGGCTGGCGCGCCTGGAGGGCGCGGGGGAGCAGCGCCCAGGACAGGCGGGGTGCGCCCTAGGAGCAGTGTTGGAGGAGCTGAGGCAGATGCGCGCTGACCTTCACTCGCTGCAGGGCTGGGCCGCCAGGCACTGGCTGCCGGCAGGTAAGGACCGGGTCTCTGCTTTGTTCTCCATGCAACCAGTGGGAAGACTTGCAGCAGGCTGTGAGAGCTTTAAAGGGGAGTCAGTCTAGGTGTATGGACACACATGCACACACTCTCTCTCTTTCTCTCTCTCTCTCTCTCTCTCTCTCTCTCACACACACACACACACACACACACACACACCCCTTTAGGTTTCATGAGCTGTCACATATCTCCGACATACCACATAAGGCACAAAAATGGCTTTACAAAATCTTCCCTAGCCCAAAGCAGCAAGAAGATGGCAGTGGACACAGCCATCACAGTCCTGAAATAGAAAGTCCTGGCTGACACCTGATCCCAACAGGCACTGCAGGGGCTCTATTGGCTGGTGTGGACCCTGACCTTCCCTTAGGAATTTCCACTTCTTCTAATTTTAGCCTGCCTCTCGCTTTAGGGGAGCTCTGGTTCCTCCAATCTGTTTTTTTAAAAATTCTTGGACTGGTTCCTCCTACCCATCCCTTTAACTTTCAAAGAGTTAATGAAATTCCCGGATTCCTGCAGCCCACAAGGTCAGGGGAACTAGCACATGAGCGGAGCGTGTAGGTTTGGGATAACCCACAGCTGAGAAATCCAAAGTGGAAGAGTCAGATGCAGGAACAAGTTGGTACCCTGGCCCCATCCCGCGGGAGGATCAGGGCCAGACAGGAGAGAGGTGGTTCAAGCAGAGGAAACTTGTCAAATTTGCCCGAATCTACATGGTTCTCCAAATGCAAGCCCACATGGGCCTGAAATAATGTATTTTAAAGGTAGTTAAAAGACATGAAGAGAAGATTTGAAGCCAAGTAACACTCTTTTATAAGTAAAACTTTCTAAGAAGTGGTGATGTAACCATCAGTTGTGGGTTGTATTAGAAAATTTAGTGTCCTACGTAAGAAAATATAACTTACACTTTCCCTGAGAATCTTGGAAAAAGAAAACAACTCTTACTGGATGGAGCAGGACAAAGAATCTAAGGAAGAATCATGTGTGAGAGTGTGTGTCATTTAAAATTACAGAAAATACACCAGGACAGCAGTCTTTTCTACATATTAGCAAACTCATCAATGTACAGCTTATTTTCGAAAGTATCTAGTAGGGCTTTGGGCCCCAGGGGAAACATAAAATAAAATGTATAATAGATCCTCAGTGTAAGTGACAAAGAGGTAGATAGATGATAATTCTGTGGCTATATTAATGGGTGAAATTACTTATCTTTTTCAATTCATGTAGTCATTGTACATATCTCATCAGAAAAACTGAAGAATTAACATGAAGTTTCATATTTATACCACTGCATGCTAGTTGGAGCAGAAGAGGGACATATTTCATTTCTGAATTCTAAAATGTTAATTCATTACATCCAATAATGCTTTACCCACAGGCTTTGATTTCTCCTCTCTTGGTTTCCTGCCAGCTTGGCTCCTAAGAGATTCCTAATCACTCTGTTGTCGGCCTCCTAAGAACCTGGTTTTAATTTTGTTTGGTCTTTGATAATGTAATCAGAAAACCCTATTAGTTAAAAGCCATTTCATGAGAGAGTTTCTGACATTTTGAAGAGGTATCAAGAGCCTCAATCACTAGTCCCCAAAAGAAGGCGCAAAAAACCTGCCAACACAGTTCCACTCCATGAGCGCACAGAGCCAGCACAGCCATAGAGGGGAAGCTGGTCTCCGAGAGGCAATCAGGGAATGCTTTGGAATGCAATCCCACTGCTGGGTCTATTTAAACAGGAAATCAGTTAATTAGATTGCAGTGGGAGCCCATGTGAACACTGCTTTACTGAAACATTACAGAACTATCTCAAATGCCTGTGCATATGGGTGATCTTTTGTTCTATGAGCTTTGTTTGATTTAATTAACACAGCCAGAAAAATGGACCTACCAATTTCATTTGAAAAAGGAATCAATGCCTCATTAAAGATTAATCTAAAAAAAACTTCAAAAATTCAAATTCTTCTGTGACAAAGTTAAAGCCTAACTGTGACATGACCAATTTTGTACTTTGTCATTGTAGTTACTCTCATAGATCGTTCTGAATTTCAATATCTTCTTTGACTATTTCTTGGGTCACATTTGTTAATGTTTTTTAGGAAAGAGCCTCAGCCACTTGTGGATGTTTAACCGAGGTCATCACACTTGACACGGATGTTTGATTCCTGCAGGTTCTATGTACCAGTTCATTTTAAATGCTCTGGAAGCTGGCTTTCCAAAGCTATCTTAAGCAAATCTTCTTTAGGCCGTTCTAAATGACTACCGAGCTCTAATTTAGATTTTAAAAGTATTCTTTCTTTTTCTGGTCATTCATACATATGTGAGGGAGGCATAAAACAGCGCTCACCTGTTAAAGGTTTTAGCACATCATTTCTCTGATACCTAGAAGGACTTCCTTTGGCATCTCCAGATCCCTGAGGGCTGTGATCTGGAGATGCACAGAGGTGAAGTTTACTAGCTTCCAACTCCCAAGTTTGAAAGTCTCTTAAGTACTCATTAGTAGAAATATGTTCTCCATCAGGCCCCTTGGGAGAATGCACTCTTCCTTAAAGATTCTCTATTAATGTTTTAGTAGTATTTATAAGCATGTGGACAAAGTAAGAATTTTTAGGCATGTCCTTGGTCTACTGATTCTTTTTGAGGGTTATGTCTTGCTTACAGACTTGCCGACTGTAAGAGGGAAGATGGAAGCAACTTTAATAGAGAGATAGCTATAGAGCAGGCTAACTCTACACCTATAGATAACTGTAAACCTAAAAAGATTATGGGCTCATAAAAAGCCGCATGGCTTAGTATCGGTGAAACAACCTGAATCCCAGTCTTCTGGCCAAATCCAGGGTTCTCTTACCATTAGGAGACAATGGTGTGCTGGTGAACGGTGTCACCAGAATGCCCCAGTGCCAACCCTAGTTTTGCCACTTACTGGCTCTGAAAGCATAATCAAACAACTAGCTTAGCACATTCATCTGTTTCTTCCATTTGTGAAATGGTAAATTTAAGACTATCTTTTAGGATTGGCATGAGCATTAAAATAACATTAAGTCACTAAAACAATGCATGTTGACAGGGGCTGGCTAGGTCGAGCTACATCTATTGGATTTCACAGGGTTTTTATTCCAGAACTTCATTAAGTTGCAAGAGAAACAAGTTTGGCTCTAAGTTCTTGGAAATAGGTTGGAAAATTTGTCTCGCAGCACAACTCTTCCATTTCGATACCTCATTGAGTACAACAATTAGCTTTCCTTACTTTGGTTTACTTTGCTCTACAGTGATTACATTTGACGTTCCTCATGTCATGATGTGATCCTGCATCTATTTTTCAATGTTTTAGCATAATCATTAAAACGCTATGCTAAAATGCCTAAATGCAGGAATCACTTCTAAATGAATTCATATTTTCTCTCATATTCTCATTATCTTGGTACTCTAGGTTGTGAAACAGCGATCTTATTCCCAATGCGGTCCAAGAAGATTTTTGGAAGCGTGCATCCGGCTATCCCAATGAAGCTGGAGACTTTCAGTGTCTGCATTTGGGTCAAAGCCACAGATGTTCTAAACAAAACTGTGCTTTTTTCCTATGGCACGAAGAGGAACCCCTATGAGATCCAGCTGTACCTCAGTGCTCAGTCCATAGTGTTTGTGGTGGGGGGCAAGGAAAACAAACTGGCTGCTGAAACCGTGGTTTCCCTGGGCAGGTGGGCCCATCTGTGCGGCACCTGGAGTTCAGAGAAAGGGCGCGGGTCCCTGTGGGTGGATGGTGACCTGGTAGCCACCACTGTGGACATGGCCCTGGGGCATGTTGTCCCAGAGGGAGGAATCTTGCAGATCGGCCAGGAGAAGAATGGCTGCTGTGTGGGTGGAGGCTTTGAGGAAGCCCTGGCCTTTTCTGGTCGACTCACAGGCTTTAATATCTGGGATAGAGCCCTCAGCAATGAAGAGGTAAGAGAGGCTGGAGGAGCGGAGTCCTGTCACATCCGGGGCAATGTCGTTGGCTGGGGAGTCACAGAGATTCAGCCCCACGGAGGAGCCCAGTATGTTTCCTAAGTATTGTGAAACTCTACTTGAAGCCAAAGAAAGAAACTCACATTTGAAACACATGCCAATTGGGAGGGTCTGAAACACTCAATGCATATTAAGAACACTTGAGACTAATGAAGGGGAGAGTTGAGATCAATCTTTATTTATCTTGGCGAAATACTGAATAAACGATTGAAGGGGAGACATCGGAGAAGGCTTTGGGGGATATTGTTACTAGACTTTATGCCATGGTGCTTTCAGATTAATGTGTGTCTTTGTCAGGTAAACTCAAATAATTAAAAAGGACTGTATTATTGAACAGAAGGACAATTGTTTTACTTTTCTCTGGTTAATTTTTATTTTTTGGCCAGAGATGACTTTTACATTGGGGAATAATGAAATAACATTTGTCATCTATTGTTCATTGTTATAATAAGGTTTGTACCTTATTATTTAAAAAAATCATAAAACATATTTATACTACAATGTGACTTAACAGATACAAATGTAGTTTATGTGTCATAATCAAATGTCACTTTTTTTGAGAAGATAGTTATATAAGTTATATTGTCAAATGGTTTTGTATTAATTTTATTAAGAATATTTTTGTAAAGCTCTACTGTAAATAAAATATTTTATAAAACCAGCCCATGTCATTTAACTATCAATTTAAAATATATTTTGGAACAAATCCATGCTTTTCTGTTTTTTCATCAAAAGCAGGCAATTAGTTTTCAGGTACGAATCTATGATGCTAATAGTGATAGTTAATATTGTTAGAAATGAAGTATAGAGTTATTTTAAATTTTGGTTTCTTATCAGCCTTAATTAAGAAATGTATGTTGATTAAGTCAACTCATCTTTTTGGGTCTTAGCTTTCTTCATGGAGAAATCAGGAATTGAGAAAATAATGATCTCTAAGGTCTCTTCCAATGTGATGTTTCCAAGAACATACATAGATTTCTGTCCTGTGTGACACAGGAAAAAATGCAAATTAACAGATTTCCCCAGAATTGTGTGATGCCTGCAGAGATGGCTCAGGAATGTGACTGGGAAGATGGAAGACTCTGGAAAGAAGCAGCGACTCCTGCCCTTAAAGCACATCCCATTTTCTTACTTACATGTGAATGAGCTCACAGTCAAGTTCCTTCAGACTGCAGAGGGGAGGGAACTCTCAACCACACTGGTGCTCTATAGAGGTTGTCCAGTCTGACAGAAGAACATCACAAAGCCACTTCTGACAATCAGCTGAAAATATGGTAGAACTTCAGTGATGATATGTCTGTTTAACAAAGGGCCTGAACAAGACAGATTGCATCCTGTTCATGAGGCTCCAGAGGTCCTTATCCTTTCTAGATCTTCTCAGTTAAAGGAAGGTTTAGACTCTTAGGGTCTTTCAGCAACAAAATTTCAGGAATCCAGGAATCTTTGAAGATTCTCGTATTGTCAGTATAGCTTCATTCCACTTGTGAGACCCACAAAGCCAGACTGGTGGGTTTCTAGGAATCGTTTCCAATAGGAGTTCTCAGGCCCTTGGAGATGACCTAACTCAGGGCTGCAGGCCCAGTGGCCGTATGTAAGTCACTGTCAGCCATTTTCTGTATGTGTATGCTCAACTAGAAGAAGAAATACTGGACCCAACCTTAAGCAGAGAGTTAGTCGCCCTGTTGATTCCTTCCAGCATTTTAGAGTGAATTAGATCTGCTCAAGAGACTCACGGGGATGCAGGCCCAGAAACGTGCAAACTCATATGCTGGCAGACTTAAATTCAGGGAGCTTTTAATTCTTATGGGAATTACATGTGGAGAGGAGAGAAGAAATAAATGGAAGAAAATAAAGTAATTATCGGACTTATAAAGGTAGAATTTTCATTGCAACAGTGCTGAGTCAGGATAGAGGTTCCCTGACATCCACTGCCCTCTCTCTCTTCCTGAGACATAGAACCCTGGTGTTAATGGTGCATGTGGCCACTCAGAGTGAAGGTTATGTTCTCAGGCTCATTGCAGCTGGTAATGGTCCTATAAGTAGGTTCTACCTGGTACTGAAATATTAACTAGTTCTTTTATCCCTCCCTTCTTCTGACTGGAATATGGTAACAATGGCTGGAATTTCAGCAACCATCTTAGACCATGAGGTTCAACCAGGTAATGTAGAAACCTGGGTCTCTGGTGTGGTAAAGATGCCTCACTATCCTTGAGCTGCCTGCACTTCTTTTATGGGGAAGAAAAATATACTTCCTGTTTCTCGAATCCACAATTGGTTGATCATCTAACTTAATCCTGATCGGTAAAGCAATTTTTTAAATTAAAAGGGCCATACACTTTATTTCCTCAAGATACTCAAAGCCTATAATTAGAACTTATATTTATCAAAGTCTCAAGGAGTTGGTTGACTTTCAAAAAACCAAATGGCATTCAATGAATTTTAGAGTATATACAATCAGAAAAAGAAAGAACTAAGAAATGTATAAAACAGATCAACTAAAACCAGATAAACTAAAAGGAAATAACAGTATGTTAGCTTAGTTCAGCATTAATTCCTCTATACTATATTCAGAACATTCAACTACTAGAAATAGATTATGGATTTTTAGAGCTTGGTGTTTACAATTAATTCATTCTATCAAAGAATTATATTTCCAGACCAGAAAAAAAATAGAATTGATTTTTATTTATTAAAATTTACATTAAAAAATTCTTCTTTGAGAAGCTTACTAAAGCTAAATGTTAGCAGAACTGTCTTTTAACTGCTTAAGAGATAGCCCTTGTAAAGTCAAAAATCTTGGTCAAAGTAATTGTTTATTTTCATTTATCTACTCCTGGATTCAGTGGACTTGAAAACCCAGAGTGGGGGCCCTTACATTCCATGTTCTAAGTCTGGAGTGGAGAAGAAAACTTGCTGCATGTGGGGTCAGAAATCCAGCACCATCACCTGTTACTTAAAAGCTAACAAAATTACCCCCACAAATATTTTTGGATCTCAGAATAGCCAAGAAATTAGGGATAACAAGACTTGCCTATCTTACTGCAAAGAATTATGAAGATGACATAAAAATAAGTAATGTTTCTAAAAGTGCTTTCTACACTGTAAAATTATTTCCGAATAAAATTCATGTCAAAAAAATGTCTTCCCCATGGATTAAATAAAAATAAGCAACCAAACAAAAAAATGCCAATAAATAAGCAAACAAATAAAAAGATACCCTTACATGGAGTATTAAGTGGTTCTCAGGTTTAGCACTAGGGCACGCTCTGCAGGTCTTAGTCTACTTCACAGCGACATCTTCTGGTGGAGTCAAAAAGGTGCAAATTACCTACATCTGACTGTAAACTAAGTCAACAATTCAGAAGAATTATGTTTCAAGATGAGTTTGTATTTCTGGATTCACATTTGGAATGACTTTTTACAATACTACATTTAATAATTATGCCTATTAATACTGAGATGGAATATTCTTAATAAGGTCATTTAGTAATCTGTTTCTTAGAATATTTGATTAAGAAATTCTTTCCCAACAATTGATAATATGGTGAACTTCAATTATTTTCTTTAAGAATAATTGTATCATGAATTTTTAATACTAAGTATTTATCAAATGGATATGGTTCTTCCCTCTACTTTTTGATATGGACCTGGCACATGGCAGACAAATAGGAAGAATTACAGTAACCACTGACAAAATATGGACTCAGCATTGAGCAAGCAATAGCTGCTTTATCTGCTTAAGATTTACATCCACCTTATGTTGTACAAATTATTTCCATAGTGAATGTGAAAGGGTTAATTTTCTACCTCCATTTTTCTGACATAACTTACCAATCAGTGGTTTGAATTTTGTTTCACATCAAGAAAGAAAGGAGGTAAATTTATCATAATTAACCAGACAGTCTATTCTACTGCCAGTAAGTCAGAAAGGAATTTGGACTCTTGCTGAGACAATATTACATTTTCTTTCCAAAGACTCTCTACTTAAATTTCACATCATTTGAGGTCGTCTTGTTTCTTGTGTCAGAGGACCCATGACAGGCATATCAGCAAGGCGTGTTTCCTTATTATGACTACTGATTCAGAAATGCAGAAGAAGGGACATCACTGTTTTTAGTTTTGCTAGCAGTGATGCGCATTGCATCACCGAATTTCAAAATCAAAATTGGAAAGGGTTTCCCTGAAGCCCTCAAATAATCCTAATTAATATGGGCAATTGTTAGCTTCTTGAGTGAAAGCTATACTAATTCTTGCTGCACTAAACATTGGTTGTGTTTTTATATCTCAACAATGGGCAGGTTTGGCAAAGCATTTTCACTTGGCAAAGAATAAGGGTGGAGAATTGTTTTGGACCACTGAGAAACAACGCTTACACTCTGAAAAAGTTCTGATGTTATAAAATATTAAATAGCCTCTGATATAATTTAAACAGAAAACAAGTTCTTATGTGACATGCATGTTTTATTTTTTAATTTAAGGGGAAGTATTCAGTATTCCTCCATTATTACAGTTTTAGTTGCAGGCATTTTATAGATACCTATTATAAAATAAGGGGTGTTCTCATTTATTGCTGGTTTGCTGAGAGATTTCTTTTTACAAGAAAAGATGTTGAATTTTACAAAGGGGGAGAGATGAAGTTTTGCTTTTTATATTTAGACTTTTATTCCAAATGAAACTGATCTCAGCATGTGATATGAAGCGTTGTCCCAGAACCATTTATTGAATAGTCTATCCTTCTCCAGGGAAGATTCCCCTGTCACAGATGGAATTTTCACAAATATGCATGAATTTACTTTTTTGTCTCCATTCTATTGTGTGGTCTAGTTGTCTTTTCTTGCACTAATGTTACACTATTTTAACTATCATGATTTTTGAATGATAACTGGTATGGAAATTACTGCCTCCCCCTCCTCTGTAACAATCTTCATCTACTCCTTTTACAAAATTGTTTTGACTAGCTGTCCTACTTTATCTTACATGTGAATTTTAAAAATCAGCTTGTCTTAGAAAGGAGATCTATATCTCCCCTCTTAATCAGTTAAGGAAGTTATGCAAAATTCGTATTTTGCAATTTTTTCTTTTCATGACTGAATACTGGATTTATGATGTTTTGACTTGGCCACATGGCTTTTCCCCTGCTAAGTCTTTTACTATGGGGAATTATATTTTCAATATTAAGTCATCCTTGCATTCCTGGAATAAACTCAATTTAGTCATTATGAATTTTAGAAAATGAGGCTAACAATCATTCCCACCTCATATGATATTGAGAGGATGATTTGAGTTAAAAGCACTCAAAATGTTAACCATATTTTCTTTAAACATTCTGAGTCAATTTGCTAAAATTTTTACTTTTGATTTGTGCATATATATTCAAAATTAAGATGGGCCTCTATTTTCTTTTCTTATATTGACCTTTTATGGTATTGATATCATTGAAGTATGAGCCTTATAGAATTGGTTGGGGAGTATACTTTTATTTTTTAATTACTTGAAAAGGTTTAGATAAGATTACAGTTATTCCTTGTATATTCAAATTTGCCTGTAAAACTAAATGGAGCAATTTTGGGTTTTTGGGGTGGTGGGGTGGTGGGATGATTTAAATCCTGATGCGATTGTCTTAGTAAATTTAGAGGCATTCCAATTTTTCTATTTCCTT